GAATCTATCACTACTGGACATGTTTTTTTTTCTTCATTTTTTCCAGGGGACTTCTCAGCAAATGGAGGCAAGAGCCAACCATCAGGTACTTTGGATTTGGATTTGAACCCCTGGTTCTTGCAGAAGGCAAATGGGACACCCCAGAAGACCACCAAACCACCGATTCGGCTCCAAACCATGAATTAGGAGGCTTCTCAGCAAATGGAAGTTTGGGACCCGCCTTTTTGTGGGAACCCTTTTGGGACCCGGCTTTTTGCCGGGGAAAAAAAGGAGAAACGGGCCTCATTTTGGAGGACGGGCCGACCTCGTTTTGGAGGCCAATATGTTCCCTTTTTCTTAAATAAGGGAATCAATCGCTACTGGACATATACAAAACAAAAAACAAAAAGCAGGCGACTTATCAGAAAATGGAGGGTTTCTGCACGAACGAAGGCCGCAGACGGGAGCTACAACTCCTCGGCCTGCACCATGATCGACCCGGTGTCCGAGCCGCTGCGGGAGCCGGCGGAGCCGTGCCCATGACCGCAGGGGGTAGGGTTGTCGTGGGCCCCCCAGCTGCCCTTGGAGCCCCTTTTTTGGGGAAGGGAGGGTTCCCCATGGACGTCCTGAGTGCAGAAAATCTGGTCGGAAGTGGACAGCCTCTGGCGTCCCAAGCTGTGAGGGGGGCGAGGTGTGCTGAAGTACAGGCACTTGAAATCCGGTTGGGAGTTGATGATTGTTTTCTAAATCGCACAGCTAGGTGCACGACCTCTCACCCCTTTGTTGGTTGGGAGGGTTCCAGCCTACTAGAATAGACGTCCTGAAAAAAGTTGGTACCAGCCAGAACTCTCTTTTTGTTTTTGATGATGTGCGGTGGCGCCAGGAGGAATTATTTGCCTTGCCTAGGGCCGTCAAAAGAATGCTTTGGACTCCGCAAACTCGAAAATGGAGGGTATCCTAACCTGATTCAGGGCCTGTGTTGAAGAGGAACCCCAGAAATGGCTTGGGTTCGGCCATCTGGCCGATTCTCCGACCCGCCAGGATGGGCCAAGCAATGGAGTGGAAGCGGGCCAGGAAAGCAGTGAACATGAGCATTGATCGCTGGTGGGTCCTCTCCTCCAGACAGCAAACTGCTACTAACAACTCTGCCATCTTATGATTGAGGATTTTGTGCGGTTGATGTGCGTGCAACATGTGTTTGGGTGGCTGTGTGGCAGACTCGACGTCAGCACTCAGGCACGCCTGTTCAAAACAACATGCAGAATATGTGGTTTATGTCAGAGCAGAAAAGGTAATGGGAACCCCGGACTAATACACCCATGATTGATTAGTAGCGGGGTGTCCCGTTTCGGTGGGGGTTATTCACTTTTGGAGGCGACACCCCCTATTCATAGGATGAGCTTATTAATCCGGGTGACTGATGCATTGATGAATAAAGCATCGGGCTCTTTACGATGTCCGGCAAGCAATCCATGATGATTTGTTGTTGTTTGTTTTTTGTTTAGTCTCTACTGCGATTTCTCAGTTCATGCCTTTGCAGCCATGAATATGACATGCTCGCATCCCAGGGCGGATGGTGTAATCCGCACCGTGTACTTGACCAAGAACAAGCAAGCGGTTAAAGAACTTGTGCTGGCCTTAGTACAGCCTTTTGCCATTGTTCCGCTGCCAAGCAAGGCGAGAGACTTGGCTTTGCGTTTCTTTCGGCTTGAAATGGCTTGCTTGTGTTTGCCACGGGCATCCCTTGGGCTTGCTGGGTTTTGCTGGGACATGCTTGGGCTTGTCTGACCAAATACATGGTTTCACGTATTAAGTCTGACTGGCCCGGCCCTTTGTATGTACCCACGAGCAGGACAAATCCAGTATCATAGGTGTCCTGTTGAGTTTAGTTTCGGCTAAAAGTAGATGGCACTGGTTTGGATGGGTCTTATTGCCAGGGGGGGTGCACCCCCCAAAATAGGATACCATTGGTTTCGACCCACGGCCAAATTTCATGAGCAGTGTTGGCCGTTCTTTGAGCTGCAAGCAAAGGAGGCCCCCTCCGAGGCTTCCTGTCAACACCTGTCCGTTTTGCAGTTTTCTCCGCGACCATGCGCAGGAAAAAAGAAAAGAGCAAGCAAGTTGCCAGTGAGCCAACATGTTTTGGGGATTGGCCCTCAGGAAAGCAACGAAGCCTGAACTTTCACTTCAGCCGCCCCAATCATGGGGCCGGGTTGCCAGAATGATGGCACCCGTTAGATTACAGGCAGCAAGCAAAACAGTGTCCCAAAGAGGACTCGTTATTTTGGTGAACCCGCCTTTGTGCTGACAGTCTCAGACACCATGGAAGCAATCCCCGTGTGTGGGCTGACATGTCTTGTGGAGATTGGTAAGGTGTACCACGAGAAACACTGTCCGCCATGAAACTGTGTTTTCAATGCCTGACAGTCAATATCACCAAATGGCCGCCATGGCAGGCGGTCCAAACCAGTTCAATCAAGCCACCTCGGCCTGGATCGAAGAACATATCTGCCTACAGTCTCCTGGAAGCAAATACTGGACATAGGTGGCCTTTTGGAAAAATAGATGGCCCATTGTAGAACCCATTTTAGTGGTTGGATTGAATCGGATGTTCACAGGCTACGGAATTTGGGTTTTGACCCATCGCCTTGTTAAGAGAACGCGCATGAAGGGCGTGCCGGCCCAGATCAAAGACGGCGGGAGAAAAGCGAACCTCATGAGCAAGATCTTCCAGGCAGACACGGAAGAGCAGGTCGTGGCCCCTTGGCTGCACCACACATATGCAATCTCTTCAATTTGCCGCTTCGGAGGCGTCGAACGAGGCGATACCTATCTTCTGGCACCATTTCGCACCAAGAGCCAATTGTTTTTCAGCCTTCCAGCCTTCCCTTGAATTGCTGTGTGCTATAGAAAGTCGCGAGGAGGACATCCCTCACACGCTTGGAACATGCGCGATTTCAAGATGACCAACACCTCGAGGGTAGAGAGTTCAATTGGGAGTTTCCCTGAACTGGGGTCAGTTGTTGACTGTTTCTGGGGGTGGTCAAAGTCAGAACATGGGATCGGTTGTGTCCTTTCAACCCACCACGACGGTGATAGAATTATGAGCCCGGAAGCCAACTTTCCACCCTATCGGGTCTTTTCAGCGGCCTTTGCTTCCTCTCCACACCGAAATTGAGATCACATGATCTTGCAGACTTGCCGCAGGTAGCTTCGATACCGGGAAAAAACTTGTTGGAAAGACCTATTTGGGTATGGGTCAAATTAAACCTCCGGGATATAGACCGCAGGGTTTAGTCCTTGGGTTCGGCTTTGGGCTCCGAGTTTTGACCACCAAGCCCACTAAGCAACAAGTCCCTTTGCCTATGCCGTCCACAAGCTCTTTCAAGCAGGAGTAAATGTACGCATGACATACAGTGATATGCTTATGGGACCCGAATGCGTGCAGATTGGTGAATGTATAAATCCGAGGTTGTGCGTTGGAGTTTTTATTACAAAGTTGTGTAGTTGCTTTTTCTCCAGGCTTCGTTGACATTGGGTCAAACATGTGGCAGTGGGTCAAAAATAGGGTAACCTCAAAATGGCTTGCCCTGGTATATGGAAACATGGACTTAAACCTGCGGTCCGATTCCTGGTTTAATTTTGACCCGACCCATGCCCATTTCTGCGTTGGCTTCCCTACTTGGAGTCCCTGCATGCAACTAATCAGCCGCTCAACCTGGGAGATGCGAGACAATGCATGCAGTTTGCCCCTTTGCCTTTTGTGTCGTTCTTATGCTTGGCTCAACTAGTGTGCAAGATGCGCGCTTTGCACTTTGCCGAGGGAGGGCTAGCTTCCAGACTGGACAGCCCAACCTGTTGTACAAGTATCACGTAGCATACATACATACATACATTACATTACATTACATTACATAACATAAAGTTACATTACATTACATTACATACATACGGACATGCATGTGTGCGTGTGTGCATGTGCGTGCGTGCGTGCGGGCAGGCGGGCGGGCGGGGCGGGCGGGCGGGCGGGCGGGCGGGCGGGCGGGTGCGGGCGGGTGCGTGCGTAAGGGCGCGTGAGCGCGTGCGCGCGTGCGCGCGTGTGCGCGTGTGCGCGCGTGCGCGTGTGCGCGTGTGTGCGTGTGTGCGTGTGTGCGTGTGTGCGTGTGTGCGTGGGTGCGTGTGTGCGTGTGTGCGTGTGTGTGCGTGTGTAGGTGTGTGCGTGTGTGTGTGTGTGTGTGTGTGTGTGTGGGTGGGTGCGTGCGTGCGTGCGTGCGTGCCTGCGTGCGTGCGTGTGTGTGTGTGTGTGTGTGTGTGTGTGTGAGAGGGGCGTGTGTGCTGGGGTTTGAGAGGGGGGAGTGAAGGGGCTCTGAGTTTTTTCCCCTAGGTTTGGCGGGCTGGGTCGTGGAAGGGTCCCCGGTCGGTCGGTCTGTCGGTCGGTCGGTCGGTAGGCAGGTGCTTCTTTGGCTTTCGCGGCTTTTTGCGTGCTTTTGTGGCGTTTGGCGGTTGCTTGTTGTAGATAGCGCACATTAAACCAGCACTTAAGCATCCTGAGCCAGCCAAAGCCTACGAAAATCCCTCAAACCCACCCCAAACCAGCGCCCTAAACTATCCCCAAACCAGCCCAACTCTAAACTCCCACTACACCCAGCGTAAACCGCAAATACATACCCACCCGAAACCCACACTAAATCCGCACTGAAGAAGCCCCACAGCAAAACCTAAACCAACCCGAAACCAACCCTAGCCAACCCCAAACGAACCCTAAGCAAGCCCTGAACCAAACCCAAGCCCACCCTTTTCCAACCCCCAACAATCCTGACAATCCCTGAGCCAAACCTACACCGAAACCCAGCCTAAACCAACCCCACACCCACCCTAAACCCTAAAGAAAACCTAAGCAAACCCTAAACCAATCCTAAGCTTTAGACCAGCACCAAAGCATCCTAAACCAGGCTAAACCTACCCAAAACCCACCCTAAACAAGGCTAAACTTAACCGAAACCCACCCTCAACCAGCCCCAAACCAACTCTAACCCCCCACTACACCCAGCCAAAAACCACAACTAAATTTACCCTAAACCCACACCTATGCGAAACTTCCCAATCCTTTATAGCATTGTAGCAACCCTAAACCCACTGCAAACCAATCAACCATCTCAAAACCAACTCTAAACCAGCCCAAACCTACAGCCTGAACCCACCGTAAACCAGCGCACGAAACAATCTCTACCAACCTTAAACCAGAAAGCCAACTCAACCCTAAACCCATCCTAAACCACCACGAAACCAACTCAACCATTCCTAAACCTTAAACCCATTGTACAACCAGCCCAAAACCACTCTAAACCAGCCCCAAGCCCAACCAAAACCAACTCTAAACCCACCGTAAGCCAGGGCTAAAACCACCAAATATCTACCCCGGCAAACCTTAAGCAAACCCAAAAAACCACCCGAAACCAACCCTGAACCAACCCTGGATCCATACTACACTAGCACCCTAGGCCCACCCTAAACCAGCACTAAAGCAGCCCTGAACCAAGCCGAAAACACACCCTAAAGAAACCCAAGCCCGGCCCAAACCCGCCTTGTGCTTGATCGAACAAATGAGCCCTCTGCGGCTTTTCTGGATCGGGACCACCCCGCCGAACCTAGGAAAAAAAAGGCCGCGCCGAACCGAGGAAAAAAAAGTAACCCTTGCGCCGTGTGAGTGAGTGTGTGTGTGTGTGGGTGTGCGTGTGCGTGTGCGTGTGAGTGTGCGTGTGCGTGTGCGTGTGCGTGTGCGTGTGTGTGTGTGTGTGTGTGCGCGTGTGCACGTGTGTGTATGTGTGTTTGAGTGTGTATATGTTTGCGTGCCAGCAGGCCTATTCACCAAGCTTACTGTAGTTGCATGGTTGTCCTAGTTGGCTTCAAGCGTTGTCTGGTTGTGCTACATCATTTGGAAGGTGAAAGCTTCATTCTGTTTCGATTGGTTATGGCTGTTTCACGATGCACGCGCGACCGCGAGACTTGTATTCATGTAATGTATGCATACATGCGGTTCATGAATCCACTTGCTGTTTATTCTCTTTTTCAGGACTTCACCGAAGAGATGCACCAGAATATGCGCTGAGCTCAGCCCTCGACCTGTGTTTTTCTTTTGTGGTTGTGTTTGTTTATCGGCGTGGCCAGATAGCCGTGCAAAGAGGAGGTTCAACTCTTGCAAAGCCTAAGATGTGTTACTTCTCATCCATCAAGCCGACAGACGCTTTTGTCACTAAGATGGCTTTGTCAGGGGCTCTGACATGTGGTTCTACACCTACCTTTCTTGAGGTCTTCACATAGCTTCTCACGAATCTCCGTTGAGGCTGGTAAAGAACAAGGGTTAGACTGAGAGACTGTCAACTCAGATACAGCTGAGAAAGAGCAGCTTGGAAGATGCTGAGCTAAGCCGCTAAGCAGTGGTAATAGACAATATGGCCATTTTTTGGGGTTTGCCGGGCATGTTCTTCGCGCAGGTTCCTGATTCCGTTGGTTTCTGCATCAGTCGGTCACCTTCTGGCCGTCCTCACTTCACCATTGGCGGTCAAGATTTGTTCCGCAAAAACAAATCAAGTCGGTATCTATCTACTTCGCAGCCGATTTTTGGGAGCCCCGCCCTGTGGCCTTTCTCACGAGCTCCTGTTAAGTGGAACATGACAAGCCGCCCATTTCGTCAGACTGCCTCACCTGGAGGGTGTCGCTCTAAGGTGCCGATGTCAAGAGAAGTCCAGCTGCAAATCCTACGCCGACATTGATGGCGCGGGCGTGCCCTGGCAAAGCGACGGGAAGACGATGGGCGTATGTTGGGCAGATTTGTGCGGATTTGGACCTGAAACTGAAACAAACAAATGTGTCAGTGTGTGCTTGTGTTTGTATTGCTGGCGAATGCCAATGGCTGCAAAAGGCCCCAGAGGCGCCTCCTGGTGGCAGAAGTCGTAGGAACGCTGGTGGCTGGTCGGAAGGGTGCCGTAGGCTTTGCTGGAATTGCGCGGGGGAGGATTCAGGGTGCTGAAGTTGCTTGAAGAACGTGATCTGTAGTTTCAGGGATGACCATGATGACCCTCTCAATGAATTTGTTTTGCATGAGGCGACGTGGACCGCTGAACGCCAGAGAGAGAGAGAGAGAGAGATCTGTAGTTTGCATTAGTTCCAGCACTCTTCAAGTAAGATGTTGTCCACGGGGTGACCATGTCACGGTGCATTGGCAGTTCGTACTTGGGAGCCAAAGTCATGTCACAGTTCAATGCCAGCACTCTATGCGTGGGACTTTCAAAAAAGAAGTGGTTCCAGCAGTTCCAGCATGCATGCTTATTGGATTTGGGCAGGTGCCAGCCGGGGCGACAAGGGATGTGAGAAGCCTGCAGGTGGGTCACTTTTCCAATGAGAGCGTGCATGAACTAGGTAGTGACTACTGTTTGCAAAGTCAACAGAACAGGAAACACTTTCCACTTGCTTGACCCTCACCACGCTGAGAGTGCCTGACGACCCTTTTGGTAAGGGGCTTTGGTGCATTGCTTTTGTACGGGTCACGGTGAGGGAACCCGACTTTCAGGATGCTGAGCGCATTGTGGCGACAAAAGGGCGTTTCATGGGGTTGGGCCTGGCCATGGATTCTCGGATCTGGAGGTGCCAGGCACAGGAAGCGTGACCATGCAGACCACTGAATGAAATGAGGCGGTTTGATCATGGCTCAAATTCGTGGTTTGAGCCGCGAAGGCTTCGTTTCGAATTGACCAATTCGTGGCCTGGGCCTTGGTTCAAGGACTGGGCGCCCGTGCCTATGGCAATCAACTCGAGCCTAGGAGATTGGATGGTGCTACATCGACAACAAGACCTTGCACATTTGCCAAGCTGCCGAGAAGGAGGCTTGCACCCTGCGAGAGAAGGGTTTTTTGACGAGGGGGGTGTCTCTAAGAAACGCAACAACAACAAGAACAACAACCAGTGCGATTTCGGCCCAGCTGATGTGTATCGCCCGATGCTGGCGGCTGGCATGGAGGCCTCATCAGCCAAACAAGTTCATAGAAATGCTGATCTTCAAGACATCCAACGCGAAGGTTTAATTCTCAGATTGGCGGCATTGACGAATTCAACGATCAAGGGTTATTGCCACAGGAGATTCATTCGGAAGAGTCTTTGGCGTATCGCGCCTCATCGGAAACCTCATTTCAGAGTTGCTTTGGCCGCTCAGCCAGCGAAAAACATGACATGTTGCGTGGTGCTCTGCCAGTGATGTTCTCTCTCACCATGGGAGAGCTTTAAGGAAACGACTTGCAGCTTTTATGCAACCCAGCAGAGTTTCACGAGAACTTTGAAGGCTGAATTTTTGAGAAAGGTGAGTGAGCACTCGCACAAGCTGGTGAAAAGGATAGTTGTTGCAGCGAAAGGGACCGCCAAATCGCGATTTTTATTAATGAGAACAGTCCCGTACCCGTGTTTACTAGACCTTGTGATCAACCCCCACATCTGAGGTCAGGGCGGCAGAGGGCGCAGTTTCTTCCCGTACTTTTTTTTCAGGTGAAGAACTTTCAACATGGTTTGCGTTTTAATGCAAAAGCATTTCAAGCTGGGAGTTTACGTAGTGTGTCCGAGTCCACAGGGATAAGAAACGCAAGCAACTCCCCTGTTGGTTGTTGTTTGTTGTTTGTCGTCTTATTCTATGATATCCTGGTGTTCTGTGTATTTTCTGATGCTGGTGGAGTTTTGTGTTGCTTTGTGTGCGTGTGCGGGGAGGGGATAAATAGGGGGTCTTGGGACTGTCGAACTGCATGTTTGGCCATTTGCACTCATCTGACTGGCTAGGCTGACCCGCATGTCTTTGCAACCCTTTTGGCAACCGAAGTCCGCGGGTTCCATCAAGAGCTGTCATCCAGAAAGGAAGGGCCTTCACAAACGTGTTGTTTAAGAGTAGTGAGCATCGGCTCGCACATTCCGCGCTTGAAGCATCCTCACAGCATGGAACGGATGTTTGTTTCAACATGGGCATTGATAGTGTTTGACTAAACCTTGCATTTTGTGGACTAGCTGTTTGATTGAGCCCTGTTTTGAATTTGCATTTGCAACAGTCTTGCTCGGGCTGCACCCATGTTGCTCCCACATTGCAGCAGACTTGTTGCAGAGGTGGCGGCACACACACAATTCATCAACATGATGCGAGCAATGCGAGCCAAGGCAAGCTTAAGTATAAATCTGTTGTCTGAGAGTTTCAACATTATCGTAGCTAGGGTATACTTTATGTTGACCTTGATGCGAGTACTCTGACTTCAAGTATGCAGGCCTTTTGCCCGGTTGAACTAAGTATCACCAAATTCTCACAGTGACACATTGGCAGATGCATTTCCGCAAAGGGTTGGAAGATGTCGAAATAGTGACAGGGTTGCTGATTTGGGTGTGTTTGTCAAGAGTCAACCCACCAAAGCGTAAAGCTTAACGGAACGTTAGGCAGATAGACGGGCAAGGCAGTCAGACAAAGTAAAACCCAATACTGGTGGGTCTTATTTTGGTTTCCCTTCAAAGCCACCCCAAAATTGATACCCTCAAAATCGAACTCCCAAGTGGCAGTGAAAGTGATGCCCCACTTGAGATACAATACCTAATTGCTGCCCATTACTTGAAGCTCCATGTCTAACACTGCAATTCAACGCGCAATGTGTTTTCGCAGAGTTGTCGAGCAGAGGCGTAATTAATTTATGTTTGTTCTCTGTGTCGACATGTTTTTTCTTCCTTTATTTTCTGACACAAGAAGAAAAAACAGAGGGAGCGCCTTTGACGTACCTTCGGATTGCGGGGCGGTGCGAAGCTTTCACTGCCACCCCGCTGGCCCGGCGGGGCGAGTGGCCAGATCTTCTACGACGCGGCGGAGGACCTGCACTGGACTCGAGACATTTGCCACCAGGCGCGGAGATTGGGCCGGGCCGCGTGGCTTTTTGGAGCTCCCCCTGTCCTAGGGCTCCTTAACAGATCTCCATTTTGCTGCCTGTTTGAAACATGTGGCTGGCTTTTTCAACGCAAAAAAAAAAGGGAAACAACACCATTTACAAGTTGCAATGTTCGGGTGTATAATGTAAGGATCCCTGTTGTCGGGGTGTTGTTTTTTCTTCCACACGGCAAACCATCATTTTGGGCGGTCCCTATTCGACGTAAGCATTTTGGCCTTCATTTTTTCTTTTTTCGGTGGTTCTGCATCCGTGTTTCTCCCACTGGGCTCCCAGTGCGAAGAGACAGCAGACCAACATTAACATCAACCGAAACGGCCGCCCTTTATCACCCAAGCACGCAGCTTGGCAACTTAGTCTTGATGTAGTCCATCGTTTGCAAGTCGCAATCGAAGGGGCTGCTCATTCGGAACAAGCCAGGCTTCCAGCGCAATCATATCAAATGAGTAAAGCGAGCCACTTGCTCAAAACCCGTGTAGATGAAAAGTAGGTAAGGGACAATCCCAACCAGGAATAGCTGCGGATATCCGGCTTCTTAATTCTTGAAGCATGTTTGTGGGTAGACCATTTTAATACTGGGTTTTGATACTGACTCAATTGATTAAAAAGTTTGAGCGCAGCCAATTTTAGACGCAGGGTGGCAACTGTCTTGTTGGTGCTGACGATGTTGGCATGTGCCCACGAGGTGAATCAGGTTCACTGGTTCGAGTTGTTGTTCACGGCAGCTTTCTTGGTAATGCTGGCAATGTGGTGAATGCTGCTCACGTTGATGGGGAGCACAGTCGCGTGTCACCGTGTCACGGGCATGGCAGGCAAACCTGAATTTGGGGTCGAAACTCAAATTTGAGCAGACACAGTGCGTTACACATGGCTGTGTCAAGAAAAGTGGATAATTTTGGCAAGCCACAAACAATTTCCCACCTGGAGGGGCCCCTAATCTTGAGGCCCAACAACATCCCCCAACAACGCTGCGCATGGACACAATTTTGCAGGTGTTTTTCACTGATGAAGCCCAGAGGGTAAACCACCTACCTGGTGCGTTCTGTGGATTTGTTCATCCACAGGGCCACGGCAGATGTCAGTTCAAAACCAATGGCAGGGACCAAAGGTTCCACTTAGGGGTCCTCAGCTGAAAGTGACCAACTTCTGCTGTCATCCTTTTGAATTTGGAAGGCGAAGGCGAAGGGTCTGTTGTTTTCGAGCAACAACCTGAAAAGTCAACAAGTCCTTTGATGTGGCCAGTGCATGCCCAATGCCGTGCTATGTTGAAGGAACATGTCCTTGTCGAGTCTGGAGGGTTGCAGCCTCCCCGGCGGAGTTCCCTTGGCCAAGTTTTTTTTTGTTTTCCCCGGTGGTGCGAATTGAGGGTGCTGGTTTGCAGTCAAAGGGAAGCCAACCGGAACCCCAACCATTTTTCGATGCCCTGCTTGGACCCAATTTTGGGGTCAAAGCTTGTTTGCAGTCAAAGGGAAAGGTTTGGACCCAAGTTCAGGCTTAAAAGAGCAAAGAGATTCCCCCAAGCTGCGCATCTTCCTTTGCCTTGGTACAAGCAACACGAGGGCGAGAGCTACGAGGCCAGCCGAGAGCTCAGGAGGGGCGAGAGCCTTTGACTGGTTTGCCATGTGGCAACAGAAGAAGCGAAAGCTGAAGGTCCTTTTAAAGGATCAGGGGACCTTTCCCCCTTAAAACATGTGGCGACGAACAAAGATGTCGATCCTTTCCCAGCGTCTTTCATTTCCCAGGGCGCCTGTTGAAGTGCCATTTGGGCCTGCCGGATTGGCCTGACGCAACTAATCGGTCGGTTCGCCGGACGGCGTTGGAACGCGCGGCGTTGTTAGGGGTCGCTTTTCTCAACGGCCCATGGCTAGCCTTCAGCACCCTTGAGTCTTGATTGGTGGTTTAATGCTGTAGCTCCTCGTGGAAGCCGCCACAAAAGTGTTTAATCCGCCCATTCAGACCAACCCAAACTACGGCAACTGACCATGCTCTTTGTTCTGACACCTGTGACTCGATTTGCTTGGGAGAAAGGAACGCGTGACATATGTCCAAAAGTGTCAGGTCGGATTGTAAGTAGATTACGTGACGATGGGCTGCGATAGGCATGGATGACATGGTCAGGTGTGGCTCGCACGGTCTCTCATGCAGGCGACGACGCTGTGTGTGTGTGTGTGTTGCGTGTGTTGTGTTTATTTCTTGCGTTCTTTCTTTCTTTCTTTGTTTCTTTATGTATTATTTATTTCTCTCTTTCGTTCTTTCTTGAAAAACTGTTTTTTTTCTTTCTTTCTTTATGTTTCTTTATTGTCTGAAAATTCATTATTTTATTTCTTTATGTCTTTCTTTCTTTCTTTCTTTGTTTCTTTGTTTCCTTCTTTCCGTCTTTCCTTATTTCCGTCTTCCCTTCTTCCCTTCTTTCTTGCTTTCTTGCTTTCTTGCTTTCTGGCTTTCTGTCTTTGTTCTTTCTGTCTTTCTTTCTTTCTTTCTTTCTTTCTTGCTTTCTTTGTTTGTTTCTTTCTTTCTTTCTTTCTTTCTTTCTTTCTTTCTTTCTTTCTTTCTTTCTTTCTTTCTTTCTTTCCTTCTTTGTGTGTTGGCTTATGTTTTTGTTTGTCCTGCTGACTGTTTTTTTTTTTTCTGCCTGTTGGTTTGTCTGTGTGGCTGTCCGTATGTCTGCCAGTTTGTTTTGTCTGATCACCTGTGCGTTTGCTTGCTTGTTTGTTTGCTTGCTTGTTTGTTTGTTCGTTGTTTGTTCGTTGTTTGTTTGTTTGTCTGTTTGTCTGTGTGTCTGTTTGTTTGTTTGTCTGTTTGTTTGTCTGGTCGCCTGTTTGCTCTGGTTGGACTTTCGGGCTCCAACCCATCAGGGAAACCCTTTCCCGGAAGAACAACGCCTCGTGCTTCTTTGTTGCCTGGGCTCGCTGAAAGGAACGAAGGACTGCATCTAACGATTCCCCGAGACCGTCTCGAGGAACAGGAGGATAACATAGTACTGGGAATATGTCTTTGACGAGTTCCAGGCATTGTCACAAGTAGAGTCTTAGTTTGTGTCCCTTCAATCTACAATCGAAACGGTAACTTGGTAAACTTGGTGGCTCCCAGCCATTCCCTTCGCTTTTTCGCGGATCTGAGGACAGCCCAGCAAATGGGCCTGGAAGTACGACTTTGGGTAAATTCCACTCGATCCGAAATGCGCAGCCGCCGTCCCAAGGCTGCCAGTGCTCCAGCATCGGCCACTGAGCTGCAAGAGTGGTGCACTCCAGGGGTGAGGCCAAAGTGCCTTGGGACTTGCTCCAAATTGGGTTTGGGTCAAAATTGAACCACCAGGGGACCCCAGGTTTTAGTCCTTGGTTCCATTTACCAGGGTGCCATTTTGGGGTTACCCTATTTTTGACCCACAGCCAAATTGGCGTTTTGAACAAGAAGCCAAGAGAAACCTGCCCCTGAAGCTGGACGCCCACGTAGCGATTTGGTCGTGCCGCACTTTCTACCGTCATGAGATGTATGGCCAGGCCTCAATCACCAAGATGAGAATGGAAGCTTCAGATATCGAGCTTGTGGCAGAACCATAATCACAATAATCGACCCGCCTTTAAAGCACAAATGCCCCGAATGATCATAAGCAGTCAGGAGTTCTAGAGCTTTCCTGAAAGAGTGTGATCGGCTCAGCCATCTTTTGATATAAAGCTTGCTGAATGAGACTTGCAGCTTCTGAGACTCTGTGTGACATACTGTGGATGGACAAAATCCTGCACCACCTAAGAAACCATGACAAACCATATCATTGTTTGTTGGTATTTACAGGGGAATCATCATTTTTAGGCTTCTTTAGGTGGTGCGAAATGGATTTCGCAACCATCCACAGTAGGTTGCACGCCTTTGGGCTTTCCAACTCTAGTTACGGCTAGGTATGCTGCCTCCCAATGGCGGCGTCAAGGTAGACAAAGACCTTGTGCAGTCGAAGCCCTACGAGTACGGGTGGCTTGGCCAATTTTTTATGGCCTGACTGCCTTTGTGGGGTCTCCAAAACCGTTTCATATTTCTTGGTGGCTCCCAGCAATTTCGGTTCCTTAGCCTTATAGCCTTCTAGTGTTTAGTGGTAGTTTCCATTCAACCCACTAAAAGTTGAACTTTTAGCGGGGGATCCGAAAACGGGCAGCCCAGATGCCAGTGTCGGAGCCTGTAAATAGATGCACAAGCGTGCACTTGTCGTACCCGAAGTCATTCTGGAAACGAACCAGCCAGGTGTTTACAAGTTCCTGGGAGGCGCAAGAAGCAATGCTACCTTTAGAACCAAGTGCCAGAGGTTGATGTTGCCTCTATGCAGGCCACAAACCAAGTGAACTTCTTCCAAGTTGACTTCTTTCAGTAAGCTGGGGGATAAGATCACGAGGCTGGCACAGAAAATAGGACACAATGTGTTTGCTGCGTAAGTGACATGCGGCATGATGTTGATTGCGAGTCTGGGAGGGGGGGGTGTTCACATCTCAAAATGTAGTGGGATGGGTGAAGCATGTTTACTCTCAGATAGACCACCTTAGGAGCAGAGCTGAGCACGCTGTTAAATCGCTCCTTGTCAGTTGGAAGTGCTGGCAATTGGAAGCAGTTGGAAGTGGGCACCACGAGTCCCGGGTAGGAATGAAACCTAGGGAGACCAGTCAGTGTGTGCCTTGGCTCGCAACATTCCGCTGTTAGATCGCATGCGAGTGGCGTTCAGCGAACCACTCCTTCACTTCATCAAGGCACGAGGTGTGAAGATGAGGTCCTATTGCGAGAAGTGGAATGGCGCGGACAACGCCTTCAAGTGGTGCTTTGTGGGCTGGGACAGCCCCTGCGTGGACCGGAGGCGCTCAGTTTCTGGTTTGCAGGGATGGCACTTCCGATGCCCACGGAGATTGACGCAATGCACCTTGACTTGCGAGCGTTCAATGGAAAGGATTGGTTTGCCGAACTGAAGTGTGAGAATTGGACACGCACTTTGCTGTTTTACAGGAATCTCGTTTAATGCGATACTCCACGCTACTTAGGGTTGACAAACTGACCGCGAGCGAAACGCTCGGCAGAAGCTGGACTCGTGCTAGAATCAAGTAGAGGTAGTGCCGAGATTGTACTAGCTTGCACTGGGACAAAGGCGTTTTTGTGTGTGTGTGTGAATAGCAGGCGGCATTTCAGCTTGGCGCTTTACGGCAATGGCCAAGGCACTACTGTTCTGAAGGGCCCGCACGAATTAGCCCACTTGTTTGTTCGCAAGTTGTTTGTTGGCACGGGAAAGCATCATGGTGATTGCTCCATCAGAACATCTGCTAAATGTGAAAAGGCCCCCGTAGACGGTCTGGAAACCAGCATTGTGGCGATCACGCGTAAAGGGCACGCTGCAATCTTTTGATGTGTTGTGACATGGCAAATGATTTGCCGGCGGTTTGATTTTCATATCATCCGCAGCTTGAAACGAAGCCCGTGCCCGTGTTTGCTCAACCTTTCCACCGAAAGGTGATCTCAAGCACTGAGTTAGCCCTGCGATGAGGCATTTGCCTTGCAGGAGCCTTTGGACGCCTTAAGGCGATGAGATGTGGAAGTTCTCATCAAGGCATCCACTGCTCACAGCTTTCCCCATGGATCAATGACACCGTCCTTCCCCGATGAGCCAGCTTGTCTTGTTCTGCCCAACCAGATTGCCTTTGTGCGGGCACCCTTTCAGGTTGGTTTAGAGGAAGACCAAAAAGGAACAACACCGATACGTAAACTTAGATAAAGCAATTTGAAGAACACAAAGCCTACAACCAATCTTGTTGCGGCACCGTGCATCTTTCGCGGGTCGCCCTCTTTTGCAACATCGAACGGACTGGCCTGTGCGACACAGGCGCGCGCAGCAGGCTAACCAGCTGTACAAGGCGGGTTAGTGCTGAGCCTTCTCGAGAAAAGGAACGAGTGTGGCTCAATGGTAGCAGTTTGGGGTAGGTGCACCACCCATTTTAGTCTATTTTAGTTGGGATTGGGATGTTCACTGGGGGGTACGATTTGGATTTTGACCCATGGCCATCTCAGAACCCTTCTAAGAACCCTGCAGAGAAGTTTCTAAGAACCCTCTATCGGGGGAGGGGGAGCCCGAGTTTTTTTTCCGCCACTGAGGAAGTAGATCTATGGGGCAGTTGTCCGGTGATTTGTGTCTAACCCCTTGTGAGCAATCCTGAATCCGCGAGTTAAAAGTTCGACTGGATGAACAAAAGGCGTCAACATCTTTGGCATGTGATTTTCTTGGTACTCGGTTTCCAGCTTGACCATGTTTTCCAGCCCCCCAAGCAAATGGCATATGAGCAACTCACAACCTTATAGGTAGCCTATTGCTGATTTGGTGAGGACACGTAAGGCAACCCCAATTTTCAACCACAACACTGGAGACCGCCCAATTTTGCCATATCCTCTCAGGGGAAACAAGTAATTTTGACCGTGCCTCATATCCATGTGCTAGCAAATGGCTCCTCTGTATTTGGCTGCTCTTCTGACAAGCAGCTTCACGATGGCCAACAAACGCTTGGCTTACCAATAGTTGCCAGCCATCCCCTTAGCTTTTTAGTTCCTTTTAGTGCTTAGTGGTAGTTTCCATTTATCCCACTAAAAGTTAAACTTTTAGCGGGGGATCTGAGGGCAGCTCAGTTTGGTATTCTGGGTTGGCGGAACTTGAGCAACTGCGAGCATCCACGTTACCAAGTGTCGCACAACCCGAATCATGTTCAGTTGCACAGCCTCACTGCACAGGTGCAGTGTTTGCCATTAGAAAAGCTCGCCATGCAGGCCTATGATTAGACCATTCTCAAAGTCACCAAGTGGTGGATGTATCGTTGAAGGCCAACCAGCCGAACCAGCTCCCAAGGTCTCTGGCCTGAGTTGGTTTGGATTGATGGTTTGGGGATGTGAACCCCTGGTTCTTGTAGAGGGCCTTTAGCCAAACCACCTTCTGACCGGGCAAACCACACGGCTCCAAACCAGCAAATTGGGAAGCTGATTGAACGGGTTTGACTGGAAGTAGACGTAGGGCCTTGAGACGGCTGTCAGCGTGACACTTCTCTCAGGACCGGGTGCCGAACCAGTTCTGGCAGCTTGGGCAAAAGAACTGGAGAGAGAGAGGGGGCAGATGATCCTTTCCAAGTCAGGCATCAGTTTTTGGGGTTAACAAGGATGGCCATCCACTTGGTAGTAAGGATTTCATGACCATAGGCCCATGCCACATTTGGTGAATGTTTTATTTGTGCCTTTGTGGTGTTCCTTCAAACGCCCACCCAACGAAAACTCCAACCCGACACCGCAATTTTTGGTTGGCCGAACTACGATGCCAAACCTAAGGACTCTCCCGGAGTCGTTGTGTATGGCTTTGACTCGAAATCGTTGCACCCCCAAAAATGGTGGTTTCCTCTTGGTGTTGAAAAAAGGGGGGGAGGAAAACATCCTCTTGGTGTGCCGAAAAAAACGGGGGGGGGGGGGGGGGACATTCAATTTCCTCTTGGTGTCCTGAAAAAAAGGGGGGGGGGGGGCGGGAAAATAAATAAATTCAAGGATGCCAGACACACGCACCAACATAGAGTGGCAATGGATTGCAATGTCCTCAAGCGGCAGACAGCGAGTTTGAACTGTGTTCGGCTGTCCTCGTCCCGCTGTGTCACAATGAAGGAAGGCTGATGAGACAGGGGGATTTGCGCTGGCACTAGGAGTTCTTTGTTTCCTTCGACAGGCTGATGAGACAGGGGGATTTGCGCTGGCACTAGGAGTTCTTTGTTTCCTTCGACAGGCCAGAAGCGTGATGATGAACGGCCATAAGAACATGAAGACAGGAACGTAAACCAGCTACGTGATACGGTCTGAAGGTGGCGTGCCATCACGCGTGCTGTACCTCGACCCCGGCACATGTTCCTGTGTGATGAACTGTAGTGATCTTGCCAGTACAGATGTGGCTGTGGGTCAAAACCAATGGGATCCCATTTTGGGGTAGGTGAGTTCACCACCCATTTTAGAACCTATTTTAGTGGTTGGATTGAATCGTATGTTCACTGGGGGCTAACCGATTCGGATTTTGGGCCATGGCCATGTATCCCAGATGTCCAACGTGCGCTTTCTCTTGAACCACCGTTCAACCACAGCCTGGCGCTGCCTGGCAGCTCCCGGTGCATGTGCATGGTCTTGGAACAAGCCATCGAGGTCGTGGCTTCAAGGTCCCTCAGCTAGGTGCCCTTTCTCTCCCCTTTTTTTGGTTGGGAGGGTTCCCCTAGTAAAATAGACTGCGGAGAGAAATCGGGTACCCTTATTCTAACCTCTCCACTGGAGGACCTAGGCTTTCAGCCAAAAGCAATGGCATTGAGTTGGCGGGGAAGCCTTGAATGGGTGCTCGCCTGGGATTTCCGAGCCTACTAGCGCCACCCGCAGTACAGAATTTCACTCGGAAGAACCGCATCATCTGGAACAGATAGGGATGTCGACAGCCTTTGACGCACCAAACAGCAAGCAAGGTTCAGCTTATTGCATTTGTGCGCTGGGAAGCGACATCCATTTGCTTGTGCGATCAGCAGTGCCGTGCCCACAACGTACACAGAGATACGGAGTCAAGTCGGGATGTGTTCAATAGTTTGTGAATGACAAGGGGGTACAACAAAACATGAACATGCCCGCGCTGCTTGGATCCCGGACTTCCGAAAACAACGCAGTCTGAACCAGGCCAGCGCACTCTTTGCGCCCTATGCTTCTGACTCATTGGATCTACCGACCCCCTAGGAAAGGTGGTTGGATCCTAAGGTGTTGTTCGACGAAAGATCCTGGCACTCGCTCTCGTTTTCAGGTCGAACATCGCCTGTGACACGGACAAGCCGAACGTGCGGCTCATTGAGGCGATCGACAAATGCGAAAATTTGAGACCTGGCGGCAGTTAGCTCCCCAAGACTTCCACGCAATGAGGCAAGTCTTCTTGAATGCCATGTTCCTTTTTTTTGCAGAAGAGCTTGCAATATAAGCATATGTGTTTGAAAGATATGTACGGGACCCTGACCCCCTCCCTCCGCACAAAGCTCAATGCTCTCCATACAGCCGAGGCCTTCTGCTGGAGATCATATAATTAAGCAACAATCCGCATCTGGCGCCAATCATCGCGCAAACAGATGCAGGTTCTGGTCAAGGACTGATCATGTAGGCACAAAGGAACTTGCTCCTCATACATTGCAGGGGTGCAAATTGAGCAGTACCCTTTGTGTTTCTGGAAAGCAACATACCTTGGGCCACACGGTCCACCGCGGCCAAGCGATCTTCCCTGCTTGTGAGCGCAGCCCATCCTGGTGTCCGATGGCTTCCGCGCCGCCTGCAACACAGTTCCAGTTGCTGCTGAAACCGATAGCTGCCCTTCAAATGCCAAGCGGCGATGAAAACGATGTCTTTCTGATGCAGACAGGCATCCACCTTTCATACAGGCAAGCAACTGGTTCTTTGCATTTACAGTTCATTCCAAGCAGGCGGGTGCCTACTTTTTTGCACGTGTGCGTACACGTCCCTGGCAGGGACCTGTATAGAAGAAGTGCAAAGAAGCATCCGCAGTCTTGTTGGGCCTTTTCTAATGGGAACCCAGAATCCATGAGCCTTTGGTTAGTCTGTGGATCCTTCACTTTTGGTGCCAACAACCTCTACAAATCCGGCAGGTTGCTGAATCGGAGACTGCCAAGTGTTCAGTGGGTGGTCTTGAGATCCAAACAACCTTCGAATCCTCAGCAGGGTGCAGTGTCTTTGTTCGGTCCGTTTGGCTGAACTAAATGGCCCTTGATGCCCTTGAGCACTGGGGTTCCGGACCCACTGGGCGGCAGTTCCCTGAGGCCCCTTCAGGGATAGCCCCGGTCCGTGTGAAAGATTTGTGTTCCCGCCGAGAAAAGAGGGCAACACATTGGCCTGGTGGAGTGGCTTCGGTCGTAGACAGATCATCAAGCATTTTTCCCCCTTTTGGATCAAGTAAGGAGAGGTTTTCATACCTGTCATACCTGTTGTGTACGCACACCTGTCCTCAAAAGCCCCGCCTCTACATTGCTTTGTGGCATGATTGTAGCCACTTCAATCACCAACCTATGCACTTGTTACTCATTCGTTCTCTTTTGCCAAGTTGTGTCGTTCACTTCAGTCAGGTCTCACCGGCCTCGTTCCTGGCCGTAACAAGTTTCGAGGGATACTCGTCAGCTAGCGATCCTGCTTGTCCATTTCGGTTCAGGCCAGCGAGCCTTATGTGCCTGGAGTTGTGGGAGCTTGGGGGTGGTCAAGACTGAGTTGACTCTCTTTGGCGCACTTGCAAGGCGTTTTTGGCCGCCTTGCAAGGGGTTCCTTAAAAAGAGGGTGCATCAATCTGACAACCGCCCATGGGCCGCTTTTTTTTTTGGGGGGGGTACCGTTTTTGGGGGTTCTCTTAAAGCGGAATCCGAAAGGCGACCTACCTTTTTGGGGGTACCAAAATTCCCATTTTGAGACATGTGTCAGAATGAAGCATTCGCTCCGCTCAGGGAGTACACCGCAGACGGGGCCTGTGCCTCAGAAGATGCAGCGTCGGGCCAAGACTTCGAAGCCAGGGTAACGCCCTTGGGGTAGGGATTGTTCTAGGGGTACCTTCCATTTTGCATTCTTAATCCAGGGATCCGAATCTTTTCAGGAAACCATCTTAAACATCTAGGGGAAACGGATCCGGTGGTTGAAAAGAACGATGCTGGAAAAGATTGGACAAGGAATAAACCCCTAGAATGGGAGCTACTTTTGCACCGCGATTCTTTGATTCCTCGGCATCGCATCTGAGGTCTGCATCTTTCACATCCTGACGTCGATCCCAATGCCCGGGTCTGAATTGTCGAACACTTTTTGTGTCACATTGATCGACATTGGTGGGAATTGGTGAATAAAGAAATGGTGAAGTGATCCCTCAAATGTCCGACATTTGGTAGTGAATCCCTCATTTGGTGAATAAAGAAATTTGGAAATGGTGAAGTGATCGACATTGAAATTTCCAAATGTCCGACAAAAAGGATCCCTTTGGCTTTGAGTGACAGCCGTTGAGTCAAAAGGCAAAATCCGACTCGACTCAGCACGGCCGGTGGGTTGTTGGGCGTCACATCCATGCCAGCTGCCTGGAAATTTTGTCCAGGAGCGAGCAATGGAAAGGGGGCATGGGGTGATTTGCGGCTTTGCGGATGATAGGATAATGTTTTAATAGTTTTATATTGGGTCAAAATTAAATCACCAAAAAACCGCAGGTTGTAGTCCAAGTTTCCATTTGCTAGGGTTCCATTTTGGGTACATATTTTTGACCCACAGCCATATCTTGGCGGACTTCCAATCCGCACTGTTCCAAGAGCAGGCTGAAATGGGGTTCGGAGCGGTTTGGGACCACTGTCCACACTCAAGACGCAGCTCAACACCATGAACGAGGAGTTGCTTTCCCTGCTTCGAATTCGACATATCAACACTCGACTGAGGGGTCCACTCGTGTGGTACCATGCTTGTTTCACTGAGCGTGTCGTGGTTGGTGAATATTCTTGCGCGACTCGACGTCACCTTTGTTTGCGCAACTCCGAGTTGGAAGTTAAATGGGGGGCCATAGAGACGACTGCCAGCAATCACAGCTGTGGTTCTTTGAAGTTGCGTTTTGCTTTCAGCCACCGTTTGACATTTGGGGGTGGATCAATCTTCCGTTCGGCCCTCACAGCACGTTTTTTTTTTTTTTTCCCGGTGGTGAAAGCCAGATCTTTGGTGGTTTTCCCCAATGGTCACCCCATGAGGAGCTTTTGATCAACCCCCATGTATCCTTACTTTGATCAAAAGAGGTCCTTTGCACGGGGTGATCAAAAGGTCCTTTTGTTCTTTCCTTTGGTCCTTACTTTGCTCTTTGCTTGCACCCGTGACTTTGAGACCATGTGAGAAGCAAACTTTCGAGCCGGAGCCGCGCGACGGAGTCGAAGGATCATGGTGCTGTACAACTTCATCTCCAACCAGTGCGGGGACGACATCCAGCGTCACGATTGCACGTAGCGAGGTCGGGGGAGCTGAACCAACGTCCATTTGCTTAAGAATATGTGTTGTATTCCCCCCTGTTGGTTCTAAAGGGAGTTGATCTGCTTAAGAATACTTTGTTTTCTTCCCCCCTCTTTCCATCACTGACCATACTTTTGCCAGGGGAATGGAAGATACTGGTCCAACCAATTGAAGGACTTATGAAGCCGCCCTTCGATAAACCGAGCCTCGCATCTGCGCATGGCCTGCGCTTGGCGCTCAACGCCTGGGCCTTCTGAAGGGGTCACACGGGATATGAGGCCATGGAGCGGTTTTCCATGCGGCCCTGGGCTTTTCAAAATCCAAGAAAACTTCCGGTTACCCCCCCCCCCGGTGAACATCAGGTTCAATCCACTGAAATAGGAAGCCTGAAATGAGTGGCGAATTCACCAATCCCAACCAAAATGGGATCAACCAAAACGGGTTTGAGAAAAACAGCCATGTGGCTATGTATGTTCATGGGACCGAAGGAAGGTGGCGGACATAAGACACGATGGAAACGAAGACGAAGCCCGCCCCAATGAAAGTTCATCATCATGTTCCTCGGAGGGGTGTGAGTGTGTGTGTGTATGGTGTGTGTGTGTGTGTGGTGAGTGTGTGTGGTGTGTGTGTGTGTGGTGTGTGTGTGTGTGGTGTGTGTGTGTGTGGTGTGTGTGTGTGTGTGTGTGTGTGTGGTGTGTGGTGTGTGTGTGTGTGTGTGTGTGTGTGTGTGTGTGGTGTGTGTGTGTGGTGTGTGTGTGTGTGGTGTGGTGTGTGTGGTGTGTGTGTGTGTGTGTGTGTGTGTGTGTGTGTGTGGTGTGTGTGTGTGTGTGGTGTGTGTGGTGTGTGTGTGTGTGTGTGTGTGTGTGTGTGTGTGTGTGTGTGTGTGTGTGTGTGTGTGTGTGTGTGTGTGTGTGTGTGTGTGTGTGTGTGTGTGTGTGTGTGTGTGTGTGTGTGTGTGTGTGTGTGTGTGTGTGTGTGTGTGTGTGGTGTGTGTGGTGTGTGTGTGTGTGTGTGTGTGTGTGTGTGTGTGTGTGTGTGTGTGTGTGTGTGTGTGGTGTGTGTGTGTGTGTGTGTGTGTGTGTGTGTGTGTGTGTGTGTGTGTGTGTGTGTGTGTGTGTGTGTGTGTGTGTGTGTGTGTGTGTGTGTGTGTGTGTGTGTGTGTGTGTGTGTGTGTGTGTGTGTGTGTGTGTGTGTGTGTGTGTGTGTGTGTGTGTGTGTGTGTGTGTGTGTGTGTGTGTGTGTGTGTGTGTGTGTGTGTGTGTGTGTGTGTGTGTGTGTGTGTGTGTGTGTGTGTGTGTGTGTGTGTGTGTGTGTGTGTGTGTGTGTGTGTGTGTGTGTGTGTGTGTGTGTGTGTGTGTGTGTGTGTGTGTGTGTGTGTGTGTGTGTGTGTGTGTGTGTGTGTGTGTGTGTGTGTGTGTGTGTGTGTGTGTGTGTGTGTGTGTGTGTGTGTGTGTGTGTGTGTGTGTGTGTGTGTGTGTGTGTGTGTGTGTGTGTGTGTGTGTGTGTGTGTGTGTGTGTGTGTGTGTGTGTGTGTGTGTGTGTGTGTGTGTGTGTGTTGTGTGTGTGTGTGTGTGTGTTTAAGTGTGTGTGTGTGTGTGCGTGAAACTCAAATATATGTGCAACATGTGTGTATTACAAGAAGCAACACCTAAATCATGATTATATGTATATATATATATATACATATGTGATATTGAATCTGCATGTACATATTGTATGTAGATACATACATACATACGAGAGAAAGGCTAAACTCTCTTGTCATAAAATATGTCTTCGGCGATTTTACGTGTAGGCCTTTTCTGCCCCAAGCTGTAAGTTGCCATGACAGCTCCTCTCAATGCTCCTCGGCAATGCATGGTGGGCACACGTGTGCACGAGATGGGCCCACCCAGATGGATCGCTAAGCACACGGCCTGACACGCATGCACGCACGCACGCTCGCGCACCCGCGCACACGCACACGCACAGGCGCCCGGAGGCACCGGCGCACGCTTCGACCTTCGAGTTGGAGCTGCCAAAGTGTAACTTGCGTACTGCGCTTGTACTAAAAGTTGCGACTTGCGACCTGGAAGGTGCAGCCAGGAACGATACCCAAAACGACACCCCATCAATACTCCGAGAATGTCCCGGAGTGAATGTGAGGCCTAGTGCATGCTTTTTCAATCACAAGCGCAGCTCCTTCAGAGCACATCCTTCTGCACACACACACAAAGGGCCCGCAACGGGCCAGACTGCGGATGCCTTGGTGGGCTTGTGCTTGCTCCTCAGAGATCTGCTGCTGCAGGAGAATGGGAAGGCTTCAGGAGCAGCTTTGGGTGCCAAGACTACACTCCCTGGCTGCGATTCACCTTTAGGGTGCTTTTGGGTACCGGAATTACAAGACTCAAGATTTGTTGGGTGCGATTGTGGCATTCTTCGTGGTTGCTGGAGAGGCAAAACCAGCCATGGCTTGTGGCAAGGGAAATGAGATTAAAAAGCCAGGTCTGCCGATGAAGCCCATTTGCGCAAGCGCGCTGCAGAGCATGGCAGCGTGCCTGGGCTGCGCAAAATGGGTGTTGAGGTCCTTGGCCACCATTTGCTTGCTTATGGCAGTTTGGCCATGTCTCCCAACCAGATGCATTTTGCGAAATTGTTTGGGTGTCACAAGCCAAAGCGAACACCTTGCCATCCAGCTATTCAGGAGGTGGATGAGAATCCGCTTCTGGACCACGGCGTGGCGACTTTGTGTCGCACATGTGTGGGAGTGCTTCTTTTATCTTGCGAGCGATTTGTTCTCATGTCAGTTTGCCATCAAGTGCTTGGCTCAAGGAATGAGTAACCCCACAGAGAACCTCTTTCAGTGTTTGAAACACTTGGTGCAGTACATCACAGGTATCGCTGGTCACCATTTGGTCCATTTGATTTGGAGCCAAGAGCGGAATTTGCTGGGACACAGGTATGAAGGGCGTTTGCACGTCCTACAAATCTTCTGCGACTCGGATTGGGCAGGATCTAAATCCATGCGAAGGAGCACATCCTCAGCAGCGCTGCGTTTCCATTTCAGGCTCCAGCCTGATCAAGACAAGAAAGCTGATGCCAACACCACCCTCTCCGGGTACAAGACTGTTCGCGTGATCTCCAATATCCAGGCCAATACCAAATCACGGAGCTTGCCACTCACAAGCAAGGTAGCTCCCCTGCGCTTTGGTTCATAATAATATATACGGCGAAAGCGCGTGGGGCAGTTTTTGCTGCTGCGCCAAGCAGAGTAGAAGAGCGTAGATGGGGCGAAACCCCATTGTGCCAAGCGGGGTTGGCGGGGCGTAGATGGGGCGTAGAGGGGCGTAGATGGGGCGTAACAATGCTGCGCCAAGCAAGTTTGTGGATGTAGCTGGAACGTAGGAACGCGTAGATGAGCGTAGAGATGGGTGTAAGCTCATAGTGCCAAGGAGGAACGAACGACAAGTTTGCAGTTCGGGTGTTGTTGGTTTTACGCGCACTCGCCCAGGCCCATCACCGCTTTGCAGGCGCGAGCGGAGGGCAGCTTGCCAGAGAGTAGCGCTTTGCGCGGGGGCAATAAGCGTTGGTGGACAGTTGCGAAGCAGCCTGTTCCTTCGCGCTACGCCATGCCACAAACGAGGGAAAACGGCCCGCTCTGAAGGCGAAAAGTTGCGCTGTGAAGGAGTGCAGGTTGATCTGTTCCATTTCTAGGAAGCTCGTTCGCCATTCTTTTACAGGCGCAGCCCAGCGCGGTTACCAGGTGTCGCGACATCATCGAGGTCTTGGATTCCCTTGAGACTCACTTTGGCTGGAACCACGCGCTGTCCCACGTGGCCCACTTGAACATTGTCGCGCAGAAGACTAGTTGTGATGAGGCTCTCTCAACGTGCGCCAGCCCGCATTGCAAACCTTGACTTGGGGGGGGGGCTGAGCCAAGCTTTGCAAGAGGCTGTTTGCGTCGCAAAAGGGCTGGCCAAAACGTAGCTTGCAGGCTTGGGCCACCAATTGCAGACTCTGCCAGGCTCCTTGAACGGGTGGCTGAAGGTCTTTTGGTCAAGCATTTTCGCGGTCAAACGACTGGAGTTTTGACGTTAAGGGGTTCTGTGCCATGGATGGGTGAGCTCCTGGTCCCAAGTTGATGAGCGCGGTTATGTGTGCGTGCGCGAACGCCAAGGTGATGCCTCCGCGCAAACCTTCCTGCATTCCACGAGCAGAGCTCAAGCCGTAGCATGTGCCGGAGGTGTTTGTGAACCGTTGAGTGCAGAGGCAAACGGGTGAGCTATGTCATGATGGCCACGGCTGACCCCGCCAAAGCGGGGTTTGGGCGCTGGGCAAGCGGGGCTGCGGGAGATGTCGCCTCAAGACTGGCTCACACTGTATGGATATGGTGGCTGTGTGAGTACTCATCGCTGGCAAGAGGCCAGCAGATGCAACACGTGCCGCACAGTGTCCCGCTCAAGATAGGAGAACGTTTACTGCGCATAGTGAGATGTGAAAAACAGAGCCTGCTCCACGGGTGGTTTGGCATCACGTTTGGGCTTCCCAGCCAAAAAGTTCGAAATTTCCCCCTTAATATTTGAAGTGAGTTTAAAAACTCCTTTTAAAGCTCTTATAAACGTTTTTATAGAAGGCTCATTGCAAAGCTCATTGCAAGGCTCCTCAAAGGCTCCTTGTTTGTGAAGCTGCTTGTAAGAATTCTTTTGAATCTTGTGCGGCTCTTCTCAAGGCTCTGTGAAAAGGCTCCTGAATGAGCAGGCTCCACACAAGGCTCAGAATTCCTTGTAAAGCTGCCTGTAAAGTGTCTTATAAGGCTCGCTTGTGAAGCTGCTGAAAAGAGACTTCTGTTTCAATTGTAGATCTGACAAGACATCCTTTCCATGAATCGAGCTTAACAACGCAATAGTTCAATTGTGATGTGCTATGTTATAATCATAATTCAAGTGTGAAGTTATGTTTTCATAGTTTTTTAAATGGGTTCCCCCAAATCCACCCCCCCAAATCCCCATATTTATATAAACCCAAAATTGCGGGAGGAGCCAGGTCATGCTTCTGAATTCTGATTGTCAGACATGCGCACGCAATTGCATTGGTTCAGCAAAAGCAGCAGCAACAACTACAAGAACCAGGCCAACAATGACAACAGCAGCACCGGCACCAGAATCAGCAGGACTGGCGGGAGAGTGCACAGGAGCAGGAAATGCACAGGGCGCTTCAGTCAGGCGCAACATAAGCACATTACAAGCACAACACAAGCGCAACAAAAGCGGAACATAAACAAAATAAAGATTAAATAAGCGTTAATAAACTTTGATAAGTAATAAGTTTTAATAAGCCCAAAATAAGCCTTCAATAGCAGCTAAATAGCTGGCACTAGGTGTCAAAGCACGTATTTTCCGGTTTCTAGCCAGCTGCGCAGCATTCCCGACGCGCGCATGAATAAGACAATACCTGCCGGTAAGTGACTCAGCCCCAGAAAAGCCAGACAGTTCAAACATTACCCCAAAATGGCCGCTGACCTTGAATGGGCTCAGTTCTGGCATCATCTCCAATGGAACTCAGGGCAGGGGAGCAAAGGCTATGACGGTCCTGAATCTCAGACCTTATGTTGCTACTATGTTGCCCTTATTGAAGTTTAGTAAGTCTTGCAAAAATAACATGGACATCAGCTTTGTAAGCTTTAATAAACTTTAATAAACTTTAATAAGCTTTAATGAGCTTACATAAGGGTAAAATAGGAAGAACCTGTGTACCCCCCCCCCCCCCGAATCACATGAAAATTATGGGTGAATTTGGTGGGACCCCTTTAAAAATCTATGATGTTTAGTTAGAATTGAAAATATGTTTAACTAGACATTTGATAGAACTGGAGGAGGACATAATTGAATTTGAATGTCTATGTTGATTTAGAATTTAAGTGGGTCTTTTTTTCAAAATAGGGCTTTGATAAAGTCAATTGCAATGTAGTTCAATTTGAATGTTTAGTTCGGTTTAGAGTTTAAGTAGAGTTTAAGTAGGAATTCCTGTCCAAGCATGTTTTTAGCCGAAGCGAACTGGAATTCACATGGAGTTTTATAATCTCCACATAGGCTTTAACTTTTTGGCTACAGCATGTACGGGTGTGGGTCAAAATTAAACCACCAGGGGGCCGCAGGTTGTAGTCCAAGTTTCCATTTGCCAGGGTTCCATTTTGGGTGCATATTTTTGACCCACAGCCATACTACAAAGGTAGTTCATGCGGGGGGGGGGGTGAGCATGTGTATGTATACATATATATATATACATATGTACACATACACGTACACCCTTTGAGGGTGCCGACCGGTGCCACCTGGCTAAGGACGGAGGAGCAGTTCACCGTGGGGGATAGCAGCGTGGTGAGTGAAAGACTGGGTGGGTTGAGACGAGCGGGTGTGTGAGTATGCTCTTGTTGTTTTGTTGGCTCTACGTTTGGTACCACCTTATGCTTTTGTTGCCCTTTGCTCAAATGATGATGCTAGTAGAGATTTAAGTCCAAGATTACCATTGGCCGAGTGTTGCGAAGCCCTTTTCCGCCAAAAGGAACACCGCCCATTTTGGGACCCCTTTTGTGGGAACCCTGTTGGCTGGGCTTTTTGCAGGGGAAAACCGGACAAACATTGGAGGATCACAATCCCCCGTGTGGTTTGAACGAAGTGTTGCCCAAAGCGAATGGACCTTTTGACCTGCGGTTTTTTCCCGTCTTCGTCCATTTTGGGTCATGCCAAAAAGACGAACCCAAAATTGATTGACCTCTTTTTTGCAGGTCCTTTGGACAACTAAGTGGTTTCAGGGCTGCGAGACCCACCTGTGTCTGTGTTTGTTCCTACAATACTTGCAACCGAGAAATCCATGAACAATGTCCTAGCAGAGAATTAATGTGGATTGAAACAAGTTGCGAACGTGACATGTTTGGGATTGCCACCAGGATAGTTCTTCAATTGAGCGTTCGGAAGGTTTTACTGCTGTTCGGCTGGTTTGGGTAGGGGCTCATGTAGTGGACTCAAACAGGGGTATCGGCATAGCCGTTCAGTATCGTATGAGTCTCAAACAATCACTGGCAGAGAGATTTCAAGCAAGGGGAAAACTCCTTGTGAGTGCAGAGTAGGAATGCAGACGGAACCTTTCAGGGGCCGTTGAGAGACCTTTGCCGCAGTTTGGACGGCGGAGATTGAAGTGGACATTAAGAATTGCACGCTTCGCAAGGCAAAGTTGGATAATGAATGTATCAAGAAAGTCTGCGTGTTGCCATGCAGTGCCCTGAGCGAGTCGTCCAGAGGATTGCAGCCTTGACCGGCAAAGCGCGCCAGTTCCCTGCCCAACCAATGATCGCCGACTCCAAGTGTGCGAAGACTGAATATCGGGCCGCCTTGATTGCTTTTCAGCAGGGCAAGCAGGCAACATCCTGCATGCCTACAAAAGGCTTCCAAAATCCACTCGGGAAGTTGAGTCAGGGGTTCTCTTTTGGGGACCTGTCGTTTTCTGACCGTTTCGGCTCTCCCTCAAATGCCCTGAGGTAGCAGCGACGAGGATGCGGGCGATGAGTTTGAGCCGGGCCAGGCCGGAGCCGCGGTCGAGCCAGAGCCCTGTGCGGGGGAAGATGTTCGAATGAATTTGCTTGCCGGTGCGATAGGTAGGGAATGTGGGAATGAAAGGCTTCGGTCAGCCTTGTGTCATCTGTTGGTCGCACTTCCGTCTCCCCGTTGCGGGGAGACGGAAAGGCCTTGGAAAGTGGCACCAGGCTCATGTACACACAACGGTGGCGAGAAGCGTTTGCTTCGCTGCACGAGGCCGAGAAGCGATTTCCATGGGCATGTATCATTCTTTCATGGAGCCTTTGTCAGGTTGATTTGAAGGGAGACACAAGGAAAGGCACGCGGCTTTTTCTACTTTTTTGTTTTGACCCATGCCAATATTGATTCCATGATGTCTGATTCCATCTAGCGCCTCCGAACGCAGCCTGCCTACGCTGTTCAATCAGAAGATGTGTTCGACAGCGAGGGGAAGTACTTTGAATAACCTTATAAAATACATACCAGCTAAGCACCTTGGCCTTCCCTGTCAAAGCTTGAATTGACACACGTGATGTTTTTAAAGATGTTTTGTGATCCAGAACCCTTGGCACGGCCCACAAACCAAAAACCCGTAGCACGGTGGCTGGACAAACTCCTGCACATGGTAGGTGGCCATCCCAGTATTCATACGTTTTCATGCAACCCAACTGGTGCAGATTTGTCCATCCACGGCAAGAATTGTTGTTTCGGCTCAGGAAAACTTACTTTCATTCTGGGCGAACAAAATATTTGCCAACGCATCAAGAGCATGTTGGGAATACAATGCGAAGGATTTGAGGTCTTTATCGTAACCTTGATTATTTTATACTGCCATTGCGTCTTTTCCGTGGAAGTCAAGCATACTTGAAGTGCTGACGTCTTGTGCTAGGATGCTTCGCAAAGGCCGGCCCAAAATCTGTGACGCTGACAGCACAATTTCCATTCCAGAAATATCCCCGGGCGAAAAAAAACAAACACACACACAGACCTACTTTGCATTGTAAAGAACGTACCCCTGTTTCAGAATAGAGTGCATGTCCAGGTGACACCCCAAAAGGCTGGTGCCCTACACTTTCATTGGATGGGGAGCAGCATTGTACCATCAACCGAATGTGCATCTTTCAGCTTCACATTTTGGCCAACAACCGCGAGTGGCAAGAGCTCATGTTTGGTATTCTGTTTGATTGAAAAGACAGCCCATTTTGTGCGTGGGCTTCTCCGATTTTTTGGAGAGTAACAACCCCGTAATTTTCCGCAAAATACCAGTATGCTCCAGCAAAGCTGGGTGACGGAAGCTTCTGAAAAGCAATGTGCCTATAGGAGGAGAAGTGTTTGGACCAAAGGGAGCAATTTCATTGCGGAGAACTTGCAATCGTTTGTTTTGGCGAGAACATGATCAGTGGCAGCCAAAAAGTAAACAGCAACCCACAAAATTGGCAGCAATTGCTTTGCTCTCTTGTCGCCTGTTCTCAGCCCCGCATCCCATCCAGCTGCTTCGGCCTGTCTTTCCTGCTGCAATGCAGGTGCTGGCACACTCAGCGAACGGCCTGAATTGGAGCGCTGGCTACCTGCGCTCTCTATTCTCTGTCTATCTCTCTCTCTATCTTCCTCTATCTATCTATCAACCTATCTATCTACCTACCTATCTATCTATCTATCTATCTATCCATCTATCTCTACCTATCTCTGTCTCTCTCTCTCTCTCTGTCTCTCCCCATGTACCTATCTATCAATCTCTATCTCTCTATCTACCTACGCTGCGCCGGCCACGAAGTGATGCGCCTGCCATGATCTAACCTATCTACTTCCATTTGCTTAAGGACATGTTTTGTTTCCCCCTGTTGGTTTTAAAGGGAATCCATCACTACTGGACATATTGTTTTTTTCCAGGGGTCTTAACTAAATGGAAGTCCATCTGCCTAGCTATCTCTCTGAAGGCGCCCACTCCAACGAAATCTGTACCTGGCTTCGCGCCTGCCTGCGGCGGCGAAATCTGTACTTGGCCTTGCGAAAGTGATGCGCCTCTTTTTTCTTTTTCAACTTTTTGTATTACGGAAGTGTCCCTCCTATACTTTTGTTCTTCAACTTTTCAACTTTTCGTCTTCAACTTTTTGTATTACGGAAGTGTCCCTCCTATACTTTTGTTCTTCAACTTTTCAACTTTTCGTCTTCAACTTTTTGTATTACGGAAGTGTCCCTCCTATACTTTTGTTCTTCAACTTTTCAACTTTTCGTCTTCAACTTTTTGTATTACGGAAGTGTCCCTCCTATACTTTTGTTCTTCAACTTTTCAACTTTTCGTCTTCAACTTTTTGTATTACGGAAGTGTCCCTCCTATACTTTTGTTCTTCAACTTTTCAACTTTTCTTTTTCAACTTTTTGTGAAGTGTCCCTCCTATTTTGTTCTTCAACTTTTCAACTTTTCGTCTTCAACTTTTTGTATTACGGAAGTGTCCCTCCTATACTTTTGTTCTTCAACTTTTCAACTTTTCGTCTTCAACTTTTTGTATTACGGGTGTCCCTCCTATACTTTTGTTCTTCAACTTTTCAACTTTTCGTCTTCAACTTTTTGTATTACGGAAGTGTCCCTCCTATACTTTTGTTTTTCAACTTTTCAACTTTTCGTCTTCAACTTTTTGTATTACGGAAGTGTCCCTCCTATACTTGTTCTTCAACTTTTCAACTTTTCGTCTTCAACTTTTCGTATTACGGAAGTGTCCCTCCTATACTTTTGTTCTTCAACTTTTCAACTTTTCGTCTTCAACTTTTCGTATTGCGGAAGTGTTCCCCCTATGCTTGTTCTTCAACTTTTCAACTTTTCGTCTTCAACTTTTCGTATTACGGAAGTGTCCCTCCTATACTTTTTCTTCAACTTTTCAACTTTTCGTCTTC